GTGGTGAAGATAATTAATAATTGGAATAGCCCATTATTTAGCCTGCAAACAGGCTCTCAAGCTGAATTGAGAGCCTGCATCGATGACTAATGAATTTGAATATCTGCGTCTCAAATCGTGACGCGAAATTCTCATTGGTCAGATGCTATAATTTATATGTTTCCGCTGAGCTCTATATATGTCAACTGCTGAAGCTCTATGCAGTAAAAAACACATTAACTGATCAAATTGGTCTTGGCCATCTTATCTCAAAGCACGAAATGTTCTGTTTTGAGAAAACAGTATTTAAAACATTTGAACTTTTGCTTGAATATCTTATATTTCGAAAAACAGTATAAACTGTACGGTCTAAATTTAGTTTCCACGGTCTAAATTTAGTTTGCACAAAAGTTGTAAACAACACCATATAAGGATAGACATTCCATATTTGGAAAAACGAACGTTACGGGGCAGATATTCAAATTCATTAGTCATCGATGCAGGCTCTCAATTCAGCTTGAGAGCCTGTTCGCAGGCTACCCATTATTGGATGAAGCTGACCATGATATCAAGAATTATTCAGACGGAGGTCAATGTTATCTGCCGAAGCGAAGCTGAGGTGGATAACATAGACCGAGGTCTGAATAATTCTTGATATCATGCGAAAGCCGAATCCAATAATTGTTTTATTATACAATAAAGACATGAGAAACGTATAAAACTATTCCTGTTCATGAGGTAGGAAAAGTACAATTTGAATATCAAACACCTTGCACAAAGTCAAAGGTCAGCTAAATATTCTATTTCTACTTCTATTTACCCCTTTGTGGCTTTTTTCGTGCTTTCACTATCCTTATCTGCCAATAATTTGGAGAGTTCACTTTCATTCAGCGAAGCAAATGAATTTTACTACATCCCGGGCACAGAAGAGATAATACCAGAAGTCTTACTCAAGCGGAAACATGTCCCATCTTTTTTATTGCGCATGCGCGAGTTAAACAAGTGTAATGCAAAGTAATGCAGTGTTGACAATAGAAAATTATATTGGGAAGTTGTCATTCCTACAGTAAAAACAGCTTTTTTTCAAGCAGTACGAAATGTGACTTCGATTTATCCGTGGAACTATTTGAACAGAAGGTAAAGCAGTAATTTTGTTGTACTTAGAAAGCAAACAGGGTCATATTTTAAAGAAAATAGCGCACTAAATATAAATTTGAGCATCATTAAAATGTGTTCGCTATGATGCCATTTTGTCTCCAGTATATACGGAGTACTGCTTTTATACTGGTGGATATTCGAATTTATTTGGCTCAAAAACACCATTACTTCAATATCCCTTTCTTGTTTTTCCTTGGATAGGTTTTAACAAGATAGAACTCTAGATCACTTGGGTCCAAAAACGCTAGATTATAAAATCCTGATGTGACTTGATATACAAATAGAATATGCCTTGTGATTTAATACGACAAATAGAATGACTTTTTAAGTACAAACTTCAATGAATTGATAAAGTGTAAGGATAGTGTTTAAAGTCGCTTCATGTGTAGAAGCTGAATTACTTTAGTTTATACACTGTATTAAATGTCGATATCACATGTTGATATGACTTTAATACTAGCAACTTGCAATAAGTGGTCTGTCCTGCTTGTTTATAATACTTTAGAGTTTGGACATTAGAACATTGTAATTGCCTGACAGAGATTGTTAGGGCCTGTTTGTATGGAAGCCGGGCTGGCCCGCTTAGCGAGACAGCCCGGTAAGGTAGGTAAGCAGGATGATTTCTCTTGTGTTTATTTGAGAAAATTTCATCCTGCTTACCCGGGACAATTTTGTTGTTTTGACATTGTTTTGACAGTTGTTAAAAATAGCTTGCAGCAGTATCGTTGAACTTTCATCCTGGCAACTGGGCTAGCCTGCTTGTGATTGTTTATATGGAGAAATTTCCATCCTGGTCTCTGCAACAGGGCCTCCCGCTTGTACATAGAAACAATTTTAATTATAATTTTTACTATAAAATAAGTAGACAGCGAGATCTCACTTACCGGACTGTCTCACTTAGTGGGCCAGCCAGTTTCGATATAAACAGGCCCTTAAAAGCTGCAAGTTTCCTTAAAGCAATATCGTCTATATCACAGAATACAGTTTCTGTAGTGACATACTTTGTGTGTTTTCTGTCTTTAAAGTGTCTTATGTTTGTAATATTTTTGTACAATACCTTTTTGAAATTGTTGATACTGGTCTCATTGTAACTCAGTTATTCCTTCTCGGGAAAAATAAAAAAAACAAAGCTGTGTGGATGTGTTTTTGCTCTATAGTTTTTACATCTACATGATTCATGTACAATTAATGTACATTTAAATTAGCTTTGTTCAATGAATACAGGTGTGATTCAAATATCATTCCTGTCTGGTACTTGGGTCAAATAGACATAAGCATAGCAAATCATGCTATGAATTGAAATACAAGTATAGGGTGTGTATTGTTTAAATAAATATATTTTCCAGTTAACCCAATAAGCTGCATTGTGCCCCAATGCACCCTACTTTACTAGTTTATTTCACTTCATCTAATGCCAGATGATTTTACTTATCGAGGGAGAGTGCTGCTGCTCATTGAGCTCTGATTGAGTTCACTGAATGGCAGCACTTTCCCCTTGACGAGTGAAATTGTCTGGTGTTAGACAGAGTAAAATAATCTTGCATGCGTTCACTAAAGTAGTTACTTTTTCAAAAGCTCAACCAGGCTAAAGATTCTTTGATTTGAAAACCAAAGTGATAGTGAACTAGTTAGTTGAAACAAACAGAATTGTTTGATTTATTTACTTTCCACAACATTGACAATTAAAATTTAATTTGATACTTTTCCAGTATGCATTCTTCATTGACATTATAGAGGTTCAGATTTGACTACCATTACCATTAAGGGACCATCAAATGCATTTGATATATTCGATCAACCATTATAACTAATCAGATGCATACTAAGGCAGTCAGAGATAGTGCTAGTAGAACTCAAATCTTAACCTCTACAATGAAAGTGCGAGTTTATTCATAAACTAATTATACGTAAATCAACTTTCATGCAATCATCTAGTTATGCACCAGTCAATGTAAACCCTGCCCCCAACCGGGGAGGGGCGGGAGGTTTAGTGGGGAAAGTGGTCCGTTTTGATTATAAATTTGCCCCGATGATGGGAGACTTGGACGGTGGTTAATATATATATATCCTGTGTTGCTGTTTTAGTTTTCTTGACAAGAAAAGTTTAAATACAACAACATAAATGAATTTGATTTTCTATTGCTGATCTATGATTATACAAAACTATTTTCCCGCGGTTGAGAGACATGCAGGGGACATTGATGTCCCTGGGGGCGGGACAATTTTGCTCTTTTACTACCCCTCCAAGTCAAAATCCCTGCCCCTCCCCGGTTGGGGGTTTACATTGACTGGTGCATTAATTAAAGAGGTGTCAGTGCCACATATGTAGTAAAAGCCAACTTGTCAGTAAAGGCCACAGAGCAAGATTGTATTTCAAAGATTGCCAGTGACAAAAACAATTGATAGGCCTGAAATAGAGTATGCCAACAGTTAGTATACTGCAAATAACTATTCTATCAACAAGATAATGTGTGTTTTTACAAATAACTATTCTATCAACAAGATAATGTGTGTTTTTATATATCAATCCAATGGCATGTAACCTAAAATTCAGCAGTGTCTGTGTAATGTAATACACCCTTACTTCTCAATGGTCAAATTAACTATACTACATTGTGTATAATAATATATGGACTGGTTCAAAAATATATTGAATTTATAACTTATAAGTGTTGAACTGGTGAACTATTGATGTGGAGATTATGCCAAGTATACAATGGCACAAGGATTTTCATGTTATCAGCATGATCAAATCGCAAGATTGTGCAAATAATCTGTGTAAAATCTCTTAGAGATATCCTCGGTAGCCACATTTTAAGGTAAAATGACTATGGTAAAGCTATTCAAGGAAAAAAATCATTGTATCTGTCAACCTCGTTGTCAACAGTGAATTTAACTAAATTTATGATCCATTTATTGCCGTATTTTAGCTGAGAATTCATTTAAGACAATGCAATACGATACACTTACCTTTGAATTTATCATATATTCTTTTAAAATGGTCACCAAAGCTCAAAAACTCGATTGGTATCGTTTTTCAAACATGTAAATTTGTCAAATTACACTTGTTTAGGGCACTGGAAACGAGACACGGCCAAGATGCGCGAGCCGACATGCGCGGGGACATCAACATCAAAGATTCAGACATCGAGTGAGACTTATTATTATTATTATTATTATTATTATAAACTTTATTTTGACACGGTAGAATCATCAGTAAAAATTTACATAATATAGATATATATAAAGTATAGAAAAAGGAGGAAAAGGGAAAAAAAATACAAATGCTATTTACAAAAGACAGAACAGTACTGATTTAAGTAGTAATATAGAGGCCGTTCGGGCCTTATTTTTAGGGGGCCGCAGGGGGCCGCAAGGGGGCCGCATCATTATATATGCATGTAATTACTATGCAAGGGGGCCGCATCATTATATATGCAGGTAATTAAGGGGGGCCGCACAAATGAGGGTGCGTAGTGACGTCACGCGGGGAGGATCAGGTAAGTAATGACGTCACGCGGGCCTGTTCGGGCGAAATTGAACAAAACTTGCTGACTACGCATTTTTTAGCGTCCCTCCTCGTGTATCATACAGCTCTGGCATTTTGCTGTTATTGTCAAGTGATTCCTTTAATTTAGCTCCTAGAGGAGTAAAAAATCTGATATTATATCAAATAGCATTAGTGTTATATATCTAAAACTTATATATTCGGGGTATACAGCTATATGTTTTGTTGTTAAGTAATACATAAATATTATCAAGCGTCAAAACGCTGAGAAATAGCATGCGGTAAGAGTTATTATCTACAATTAAAATAATATTTTT